GTATTGTTGCCATTAGTGTTGACCACATTGTTATTAAGAGTAGCCGATGGCGACAATGAATAGGCGAAGATCTCACTCTTATCCTCATTGTCTGTTCCACTGTTGTCTCCGCCGTCGTTGTCATTGGTTCCGTCCATATTGTCGTCGCCGGCGTTGAACTCAATGGGTTCGAAGTTGTATTCCTCCTCATAGTTATTGAGTGCCATTTTTATGGCATTCGAGTCCTTCGCCTGATATATCTTATGCAAGGCGTCGAAGAATATGCACTTCTTCTTGCGCTCCGGAGTCGGGTTCTTAAGTATTCGCCGATATTCTGCTATCATATTGAAGACTCGTGTCCGCACTTGATCTGCATTATCACAAACACGTGTTAGCATGCCATCAATGGTTTGTATCCAAAGTGGGAACCGATAGACACTTACCGGCCGTTCGGTCGAAGCCGTGTTCGCGGATGCGTTCGGCGATCTTCTCCCAGACGTGTCGAGTCCTCTTCGAGTTTGTCAGTTGTCTTTGAACCATATCCTGACCCCAGAGGGACAACAAAATCCTGGTCTCGTTGTAACTCCAAGAGGCGCCCCTTTCGATGACGGGTCGGATCTGCGGGTTCTGCACAGCATATGACTGCAGATATGACTGATTGTTGTGATGCGTCTGAGAAGTCATTGTCTTCTTCCAGATCTCTTCGCTGTCTTTTAATGGCATTCAGTTATCACTGATTGTAATAATTATAACATAAGTGACCACAAAATCAAAAGGCAATCAATGCTTATGAAAGTGACACAAAAGGGCAAGTGATAGGAGATGGTAGTGTGGAGCGGGAAAGAGTGGTAATTTAGGAGATAATGAGGTGATAGTGGCGGTGAGGCAATGGTAGAGATGGTGTGTGAAAGTGATGTCAAAGCATTGCCTCAGAAATAGTGAAAAACAAATAAATAAAGCGTTTGAGGAGAGAGTGAGAGATGTCTGGAGATGTGGTCACAGAGTGACAGGTCGTGGTATGGAGTGATAGTACGAAGTGGTGGTAATGAATGGACAGTTAGTCTAATACAGTGGACACACCCTCTGGAGGCAGCATTGATGGCATAAACAGCGTTAATAGCGTTGAATGTATTGAGTGTTGCGTTAGGATTGAGACAAAGAAAACATAAAACATATTCACATTCACTGCCATTATTACAATCAATAGTCGTTTGAATTGTAGTCAATGTATAGTGAATGCTATCAATGCTATCAATGCTATAACGCTGTCTCAGCGAGCAATGCGTTCAATGCTATACAACACTATTATAGTGGCAATAGTGGTAATAGTGGCTGAATGGTGACTGTGGGCACCATTGGCCACAATGTGTATGCTTTAAGACAATTGTCAGTACCTGATGGTGTGATCCAGTGGTCGCTGGTGTCCGAAACGATCTCTGAAAGCCACTCGACACTAACCGCACCCTCGAGTCAGTCGTTGTGTAGTTATAGTTATAGTTATGTTAACTGCAAACCAGTATCTGTCTGAACAGTTTGGGTTGTGGTGAGTGGTAACACAATTCAATACAATTCACTACAATTCACATACAATTGAGTGCACGACTGTTAGACTGCAACCAAACGCAACCAACACTTTAATGAAACATACATTCAGTGTTCACTGCATTAGTGTTCACTCATTGGATAGCATTGAAGACCCGATTCTCTGCTCTCACTGAACGCTATTTAGAGTTTAGTTTAGTTAGAGTTAAGTATAGTTTAGTTATATATATATAGTTATATACAATATATGTTTAGTCCATTCACTAGGAGTTCACCATTCACTCACTCCTCCCATAAAATGAGATTCAAATGAAAGTCACTTCTGATTGCATTCAATACAAGACTCGATCAATGAGTGATTCATTGAATTCAATGCTATTTAGACTCACTTTAGACTCACTTATTGTTTAGTTTAGACTCAATGGCTAATCCAATACTAAATGAANGCTCGCATCGACAATACGGCACATACTGTACGGCACTGTCTATTCAATACCATTACTATTATATGGCTTAATCTGATTCATGTATTAAATGAATCGGTTGTACGCAAGCGCTAAATGCTATTCAATTGACTGTACAGTATTTGAACTATAGTTAAATTGTACTCAATTTGGTATTGCATTGATTTGATCGACTAATTCTGTCAGTCAGTCAGCGCTAACTTAGCCCACACTCTAAGCACTCGTTTGCCACTCATGTAGACTATCATCACTAAAACACAATTCAATGTACACTATATATAGGCATATAATATACTAATTATGATCAACTCATTTGTCCGCATATTAACACAATTTGTATGAAATTCACAACTCATTAAATCCTTTGTGAAACATTTCAAAGCATTCAAATCAATAGCTAAATTTGAGACTAAATTTCATTTCACTTTCAATTTGAAGATTTTCTTTAAAATACAAATTATTTCGATTTCATTTGAATGCAATTAATTGTTTGACATTTACGATACAATCATAACAAATGACTCATTTTTGGATCAATTATTATAATAATAGAAATAATTAGAGTTAGAGATAGAGATAGAAGAGTGCATTGGAATAGGAGTGAAGGGACGGGTAGTGTAGGCATCCCTCCATCCCTGCATCCCTTCTCCATCACTGTATGTATGCTCTCATGGTTTGCATCCTTTCCTCACTCGCATGATGTGGTCATAAGAGTTATGCGACAATCAATTCATTGGATTATATTTGCGTCCATTCCTCACAACCTCTCCTCAATCCACACACACTTCTCATCCATTCATTTGCTCTCAATTTACTTCATATTTCAATAAATATATCGACAATTCAAATGCAATGCAATCCAAAGCATCACTAGTTTGGGAGTAGAGTTAAAATGAGATACATTTAGACATTCATGGGTGAGACATGATTGGGATGTGTTGATGAACAAAGAGGTTCATCACGCGAGGGACCTGTCTGTCAGAGATGACTGTCCTGATGGCAGTGTATGTGTATTCGTGGTAGAGTACGGAGACAATGGGTGATTGGTTTGATAGTGTGATTGGTTGGCTCATTACATAAGCGTATATAATATTCATATTCATATATAATATACAATATACTGATTGTATTCATATGAATATGCAGTGAATTGGGTGATGAGTGGCCTAACTATGATTCAATCGATATTCAGTCAAACATCAAAGAGTTGTAGTGAACGGTAATCAAAGATCTATTCATTTAGTATTGGATTAGCCATTGAGTCTAAACTAAACAATAAGTGAGTCTAAAGTGAGTCTAAATAGCATTGAATTCAATGAATCACTCATTGATCGAGTCTTGTATTGAATGCAATCAGAAGTGACTTTCATTTGAATCTCATTTTATGGGAGGAGTGAGTGAATGGTGAACTCCTAGTGAATGGACTAAACATATATTGTATATAACTATATATATATAACTAAACTATACTTAACTCTAACTAAACTAAACTCTAAATAGCGTTCAGTGAGAGCAGAGAATCGGGTCTTCAATGCTATCCAATGAGTGAACACTAATGCAGTGAACACTGAATGTATGTTTCATTAAAGTGTTGGTTGCGTTTGGTTGCAGTCTAACAGTCGTGCACTCAATTGTATGTGAATTGTAGTGAATTGTATTGAATTGTGTTACCACTCACCACAACCCAAACTGTTCAGACAGATACTGGTTTGCAGTTAACATAACTATAACTATAACTACACAACGACTGACTCGAGGGTGCGGTTAGTGTCGAGTGGCTTTCAGAGATCGTTTCGGACACCAGCGACCACTGGATCACACCATCAGGTACTGACAATTGTCTTAAAGCATACACATTGTGGCCAATGGTGCCCACAGTCACCATTCAGCCACTATTACCACTATTGCCACTATAATAGTGTTGTATAGCATTGAACGCATTGCTCGCTGAGACAGCGTTATAGCATTGATAGCATTGATAGCATTCACTATACATTGACTACAATTCAAACGACTATTGATTGTAATAATGGCAGTGAATGTGAATATGTTTTATGTTTTCTTTGTCTCAATCCTAACGCAACACTCAATACATT